TATTGTCAATCTTCTTCTTCTTAATTTTCTATACTTTTCTATATTAAAACAGTTCAAAACCTGTTTTTACGAGGAAATGCTTAAATGTTCTGCGCCCACCAAGAAGGAATTCTTAAAATATCCAATTCTTGGTCATTTGGTTAGATTTGGGAAAATCAGTCAAGCTGAGGTTTTTTTTAGCTCCATCTTGTACGAAACAACGATTAGTGATAGTAATTTTCCTTTTACTGTCATCGTTGTTACCTAAGCCTGTTTCATGATCCGTATATATTTGGAATGCTCCAAGTATTGTTTTCGACATTTGTAATTATCAAGTGAAAACGTTGTATGAATTATGATTTGTGAATCGGCTTTTGCCAGAAAGTTTTTTTAGTCGTCAGCAAGCCACACTCAGACTACCATTAAAATTGCTTGAGACCCTATAAGCAGAAGCGATGGTTATTGGGTTTGTATGTAATCTCTGTGCTAAAATATACAGATCTACTTGTTTTTGTTTTGTTTATAAGTCTGTTCCTATCACTTTCTCAATAAATCGATATTATAGAAAATTACAAAAGATCTCTAAAATAAATATCAAAGAAAACTTTTTATAGAATAATGTAATCAAAGTTTTCATGCTACATTATAGAACAATAGACAACATGCACGAATAAAAGAAGTTTTCCTGTATATCTGTAGCTAATAAATCTTGTTAATAATCGCATTTATTATTACTCTTCAACTTTCGAGTATTTATAATCTATTAGTTTTTCATAGAATTGGCAAGTGGTGATAATTGCCTTTATTGTAAATGATTAATAAGCACGCAAAGAAAACGGGAATTATTCAGCCATATGAGGCATTAGGGCTCAATCACTTCATCAACAATTTCAGATTGTAATTATCCAAGTGTAACTACTTACATGAGATCCATGTATCATTCTATTTTGAAATCTCGATCGTTACCATAACAATGCTTTATTGAATTTAGTATATTGATTAATGTTTGCTAAGCTAACCTAAGCCTGGCCCAAGGATATATGTATAAGCACTCAGTGAGTATCAAACTCGATAGTTTGAGATACTAAGCTAAACATTATTCTATGGAATGGTATGCAATTAATCCACTTAATTATTTATTAAAATGTTATTTTATGCTATTAGTCAGTGGTGACCATGTTACAAATCACTGATAGTTCGTGATAGAACTTTAAAATGGTTTAAGAATTAATTAAGACCATTTTAAAGTTCTATCACGAACTATCAGTGATTTGCAAGACATTCTACAGTAACATTTGAAACGAGAAGGAAATGGATTGTCCAAAGTTTCATAGAACACAGTTTAAATGTTATATTAAATAATTTAAAAAATTTAATGAGCAGAATGGGTAACTCAAAGATGTTACACACACACAAAGACACACACACACACACACACACACACACATATACATATATATATATGTGCGTGTGTGTTTGTAAATATTTTCAGAAATATTTGACAGTTGAATTTCTAAAAGAAAATAGATCGGACAAAGTCTTTCGTGTGATTGTTTAACCATACGTTTATAGAAATCAGTTTATATAGGTGAAAAGTCACATAAAACAAATTTTTATAGTTACACAGATTTTAATAATCAGAAAACAAAATGGGTAACTCAAAAGATAAATATATATATATATATATATATATATATATATATATATATATATATATAGTATAATCAATTTTAAATCATCTTATTTCAAATGCATGCCTCTGTTTGGTCGTCGCAAAGTCCAAATTATATACAAAAAACCCTCGAATCCGCTATTAATTTTATTTTTATTATTGTTATTTTATACAAACTCTCTCGACATTCATTTCATTTTTTCTCTTAGTAATAAGATATAAAGTATATATGTATATTGTATTCGAAAATATATGAAAATGAGTTATTGTTTTGGAGAAATAAGTAGTTTGATTTAAAATTTTTAAAAAAATTTAAATGAATTTTTTACGCTCTTTCAAAGTTATCTTCTGATGAAATAAATAATGTCGCATCATTAAATTGATAAAGGGTTTCTATAAACAATCAATTCCAAATCATTAGAATAAATTTGTATAACGCACAAATATAGTCAAACTCATGAATAATTAGAAATAGCTTAAATATATATATATATATATAAATATATATATATATATATATATATATATATATATATATATATATAGATAGATGATATATAGATATATATATATATGCATTCCAACACTTGCATTTTTTTATTTTAATTGATTTTGGTGACACTGTTGTCTAAAATATTTCATTTCTTCCTTGAATTCCATTTGTTTTCCCTTTGTTGTGCTCTTTCTAACACTTTCACATTTTTTTTTGTTTTCTGGCAAGATGCTGATATTTGTGGATCTTTGTTTACTTTAATTTCACTCGCTGATATGTTAGAAAGACAACAGTCCTTATTTGACATATCTTCTTTTCTTCGTTCACGATGATTAGATCTGGTCTTCGTACCTGCT